GGGGAGGAGGGGAAGGCCGGGCAGCGCCCACCCCAGCGGCTCCGGTGTGGGCAGCTCCGTGACCCACAGCCTCCGCGTCGGGAGGACCCAGAGTCAAACTTGGGGTACGGATGGATGCGGTCTGGGGATTGAGCACCCAAGAGGTTGGCGTGCCTCTCTCTTCGGAGGGCCGTTCGATAATTAAACGCCCTCTCACCCAACGTGCTCTCTGAGGCACCCTGGCTGAGCTAGGCAGGCTTGCTGCTCGGGAGTCCGTGCCTTTGAACCTGTTTCTTTCCTATGTGTACAGGAAGAGATGGGATGGCTTTCTCAAAGCCTCGCAGTTCTTAAAATAACGAAACTCCTGGGAAATAAAACGAAAAAAAAAAAATTTAAACATGCCTAGCTCTGGGCTTAGGTCTCCAGAGCCCTTTCATAGCATGTAATTCTGGGTGAACCATCCAGGGTCATGTAAGAAAATGGCACATCTTTTATAAGAAGTCAGATGTGTTTGTTGTGCATTTTTCTGGAATGTTGGCATGGGTCCTGGAGTCCCTCAAGGAGGGAGAAAGAGAAACAGGTAGGATCTATGAAGTGTGATGCAGAGGAGTACTAACCTCTCTGCTAGCAGTTTGAGAATTTGAGCTTATTCCTTTTAGATATCTTTCCTTGAGGCTAAGATCAAGCCACAGGTTTACTGGAACTGATGACATTGTATCAAGACTTAAGTGGCAGATGGGGAAAAGGACATTATCTTGTGACCCTTCGCCCCTTTCCAGTACGCCAAACCCCTAAATGGAGAAAACAAAAATTACCATTTCCTTTAAGCTCTGATTCAACTGGCTAATACAGATGTCTTGCTCTGCTGGCTTTATTTTACTACAGTGAGCCTTTTTTTCTCTTTAGAGTTAAAACCCTGTGTTACCAGGACAGCTAACTTGCCCTCCAGCTGTTTTTTCCCCTCTTCCTACTAATTGTAGGCAAATACCCCTCAGGTCAACAGTCTTAATGTACCTTTTGTGTTGGCTCTGTTGATTCCTTTACCTGTGTGAGTGAGGCTTCTGCCCAAGAGAGCTGTCTAGTCTTGCTACCAACTTAACAGTGGAAGGTTGACAGTTCAGTGGTCTTTGAACTCTTTCGGTGTTTGTGGAATTGTGCATCTATATGTATTTTAAGGAGAACTCATCACTTGCATTTGGTTTTCTAAGGGGCTCCTGACACACCATAATCAGTGATATCTTTAAGAGATGGAGCCTTCCATCCCAACATGACCCTGTAGTAAACCTCCCATAGGTCTGTTAAATTACCAATCCTCTGACTCAAGTCTCAAACCTATCAGCGGCCTCTGTCTATAATTGAGTCACCTGGAGTGTCTGTGACCGGAGGCAAGGTGCATGTAGCCTCTCCTATTTTCAGGGTTTTCATAGGCTAAAGGCGGGTAATCTAGCTGTGCCTATTTCATCAGGTTTTGTGGGGCTCAAATGAGATAATCCTTTAAAACACAGTTTATGTCACATAGTAAATGCTAAACATTTACTCTGCTAATGAGCTCCCATATAGCAGAGCTATGGGTCATCCTTTCTCAAAGATTTTTGCTGGACAAGGTCTCAGAATCTTCAATCATTGGCATAAAAGTAGAATGCTGCTTTAGTGAAGTCACCTATACGTGAATAAGTGGACAGACATAAGAAAGACAGCTATGGGAGGTATGATGTGAGTTTAGATAAGTCTTTGATAGATGGCGAAAGGACCTCATTACTTAGATAATCTTTTTAACCTATTAGTATACAGTTGACTCATTAAACCAGCATTTATTGAGCACACACATAAGGGATATGCTAGTTTTGCAAGTTTTAGCTACCTTACAGAACACTCTTAAAGACAGTATAGAAGCTGAACCGATTCATTGGAGGAATATAAAGAATAAAAATGGTTATAGAGAAATTCCGTTCAGACCCAGTAAAGGTATTGAATGGCTAGGTAAATGGACTGGGCACTCACAGAAGAGCATGACTTCACCTCCCTAGTGCTTCAAGATTTTAATATGGATGTGGCAAGATGGGGATCAGAGTGCCAAAAGAAAACTCGTCTTTATTCTGCCTCTAGTCCCTAACACTCTCACCAACTCTCAGAACTAGTGTAATGTCTGCATGGCTTCAGTCACTACAGGCCTACTTTTCCCTTATTCCCTACCTCACTGTCACAGTGAGGGAGCCCAGCCCAGCAATGTACACCTGCCCCGGTGGACCATCTACCTAGGAAACCTGGGCTCCTAGGGAGGCTGAATTGCCTGCATTAGCTGTCACCATGTCTCAGTGTCCTTTACCTGGAGCAGAAACCAGTTGTCATGCCCCAAGCCCATCCAACTTCTGCAGATCTTTTCAGACAAACAAGGGCAGCAGTCACACGAGCAGGCTGTAGTAGAAAGGGTAGCAATAGGTATTGATAGAGCCAACAGCTGAGTGTTCTGATTTCTTCCCCAGTACCCGTCCCGTCCTGCACACCATTTATCATATCTGAAATGAGTTGGGGGGTAAGATGGCTCTGTAGAAAATAGAAGGTGGCATAGCCATCTTTTATGTGTTTTTCTTAATAGCTTTATCTTTGATGTCTCCATCAGTGCCACTATCAGAAGAGATTTGCTTCCTTGGAATGTGTCTTGTTGTTGCAAAGACAGAGGGCCTTTTAGCATGAGTGCTTGTCTCTTGGATTTGTTTTGCCAGCTGGAGACCATGACTTTCAATGCTGTCTTTCCTTTTCTCCTTGAACACAGGTCCAGCAGCTGGACATGGAGGACGAACACTCATCACCTCTGTCATTCTCCAGCATTCTACACGAAGAGTCTGTGCATCAGGCCCCTGCTGGACTCTCCAGAGAAACTGTGTTCCCTTCTTGCATTCTTCCCCCCAAAGAAATTCCTTCTTTGTCTCCCACTGCCCCCCAGCAAGGTGCCCTGCCCCAGACTGACAGTACTCCTAAGCAAGAGGCTTCTGGCCAGATGTCACATGTTCTCCGGAAGGGACCTTCACTCCTGTATCCTGAGCAAGACACACACCACCAGGTATCCCTGGCTTCCCAAGAAGAAACCCAGTGCCCTCCTTCAGCTGCTGGTCAGGGGACCCCTCTCCTTTCCCACTCCACCCACCATCAGGAAGCCCCACCCCACTCTCCTGAAGTTCCTGAGAAAGACTCGCTGACCCTGTCACCTACTGGTCCAGAGACTGACATGGACACCCTGCTCCAGAGTCCCACTTTGCAAAAGGACACTCCTTTCCATACCTCTTCTGCAGCCGAGAAGGAACAGCCACTGCCCACCGCAGAGATCACTCGCTTGGCTGTGTGGGCTGCTGTCCAGGCAGTGGAGAGGAAGCTGGAAGCCCAGGCCATGCGGCTACTGACCCTGGAGGGCAGGACGGGGACCAATGAGAAGAAGATAGCAGACTGTGAGAGAACGGCTGTGGAGTTTGCAAACCATCTGGAGAGCAAGTGGGTTGTGCTGGGGACCCTGCTGCAGGAGTATGGACTGCTGCAGCGGAGGCTGGAGAACATGGAGAACCTGCTGAAAAACAGAAATTTCTGGATCCTGCGGCTGCCCCCAGGCAGCAATGGAGAAGTTCCCAAGGTACACCCATTCCATTGGGGTCTCCCCAAGGAAACCATATGCAGGGATTTACTTCAGTTGAAAGAAAGGGAAAGTGATGGTTGGGAAAGAAAAAACATTCAGTATTGCTTCACCAAGAGCAAAAGTCCACTTAGAAAGGAATGAGCAAAGCCCTTCCCAGAGCCTGAGACATGATGCAAAAGGAAGGCTTGTGAAGGTGTGCAGAGAGCCTGTCCTGTCAGTCTGCCCTCCACATGCTCTGGTTCTGCATGCGGAGTTCTTTCTGTGCACTCCGGGTAATATGTCTGCACTAAACATGAACAAGTTTTTTAGCTGACTCCTGAATGACAGATTATAACAACTGTACCTGACACATTGAGGCAGCATTGCATGTCATCAAAGGATGACTTAAAGTGCTGGAGGTTTTTTTTTATATATATAAGTTTTATGCAAATACTGTGCCTTTATATATAAGGACTTAAGTAAGCATCTGCAGACTTTGGTGTCCTGAGGTTCTTAAACCAATCCCTTGCAGGTACCAAGAGACAGTTGTACCAATAAGCAGTGCTTAATGGTTTACCATCAGCCTGGACAGGAAGAAGAATATAGTTTAACTGTTAGAGGTTTTATGCTGTTTAACATTTCTTGTCAATTTACTTATAAATCTTTAATGCCAATAAAACTCATTTCAGAAAGTATCCTTAAGGAGCTAAGAAACAGGCTTTAATCTTATTTTTCCAGAAGACTAACATCATGAATGTAGACTGGTTTCTTTTTGTTCCAAACAGACTGAGTGTGAGCCTCTTGAAGACTGTTGTCCATTAGAATTCTAGGATCTCACTAAAGGCATAGTGGTTTCTGAAGGTCCAGGGTGAGGCCTAAGAGTCTGCATTTGCAGCAGGTTCCATGCTACTACTGGTGCTGCATGTCTTAAAGTTGGGGAAGGGCCTGGGCAAGTCGAGACCTCCCCCTCCCCCCTCCCCATTGGCCAGGCATGTGGCCAGATTTCAACAGGGTTTTAGTAAAGCCCCCTGAGCAGGAGCAGGGGAGGAGGGCTTCCCTCCCTAGTCCTTAAAGCAGGGAGTTGGGTCTGACAGTCTGTGCTGTTGTCCCTCTGGTCTTTGCTGACCCAGTTGTTTGGTTTCAGGTCCCTGTCACATTCGATGATGTCGCTGTCCACTTCTCAGAGCAGGAGTGGGGAAACCTCTCTGAGTGGCAGAAGGAGCTCTACAAGAATGTAATGAGGGGCAACTACGAGTCTCTGGTCTCCATGGGTGAGAAGGCAAACGTTTTGTTTGGTTTTGGATTATTGGTTAAATGATGGGAGTGCTTGTTTGGGTTTGGGTGGGTGTGTGTGTGTGTGTGTGTGTGTGTGTGTGTGTGTGTGCTTTTGTTCTGAGATAGGGCTGCCCTGGCTAGCCTAGAACTTGTTGTGTAGATCAGGCTGGCCTCAAACTCACTGAGATCCTCCAGCTTCTGCCTCCCTAGTGCTGGGATTAAAGGATCTTATTGTTGAGAGAGGCTGGCCTGAAATAACCATTTAGCCCAGACTGACCTTGAATTCACAATCCTGCTGCCTCAATTTCTTGAATGTTGAGATTATAGACATAGACAACAGAGTTTTGCTTGTTTTTGTGTGTGTGTATAATGTGGTGCATGTGGAGGCCAGAGGTCGATCTCAAATGTTTCCTCTGTTCTCTTCATTAGTTTTTTGAGATGAGGCCTGTCACAGAACTAGTTCACTTGACTAGGCTGGCTGGCCAGAGTGCTTCTGGGACCTATGTCCTTCTCTTTCCCCTCCCCCTCCCTTCTCCTGCCAGCACTAGGGTTACAGATGGTCACCACTGCACCTAGCTTTTACATGGGTACTAGGAATCAAACCCTTGTTCTCATTCATACAGAGCAGGCAACTTTACCAACTGAACCATCTCTCCAGCCCTACAAACAGAATTTTAAAGAGTGCCACAAATGGGCTAGAGATTGGTCAGTGGTTAAAAGTTCCCAGCACACACATCAGGTAGCCTACTGCGTGTACCTCCAGCTCCAGAGGATCTGACACACTTTTGTGAACTTTGCAGGCACCTGGAATCACATGTGTACAAACATACATATACATCTAATTAAAAATAAGGTAATTTTTTTCTTTTTAAAAAAAGTGACATAACTGAAAAACACAATCAAAAAACCAAACCTCTCATATGCTCTTATATGTCAGTATGGCATAAGCTCGAGCAATCTATACATGGAGACCCCACACTGCAGGGAAGTACTTGGGGCAACATGGGAAGAGCTGGCTGGATGTTGGCAGGCCTCAACATCAGAGCATTTCCCCCTGCATCCTGCTTACAAAATTCATTTATCTAGCAATTTATTGTTAAAAGGAAAGAAACTAGAAGAGAACAAATGTACTGAGGGCCTACTGTGTGTCAGCAGTGTGTAAAATACTTCCCAAGAGTAACATGAAGTGAGGGACTGAGGACATGATTAGAGATTTAGTTTTCTTACTCATACAACTGAATGCCATCACTTACTGAGGCTGTATGGCCCAGGGTCCTGGTCCCATTAGGAAGTCACAATCTCACAAAAGTTTGTCTTATACCAAGATCTGTGGATTTTTGTTTTCATTAAAAACATGAAAGGAGCCGGGCGGTGGTGGTGCACGCCTTTAATCCCAGCACTCGGGAGGCAGAGGCAGGCAGATCTCTGTGAGTTCCAGACCAACCTGGTCTACAAGAGCTAGTTCCAGGACAGCCTGCAAAGCCACAGAGAAACCCTGTCTCAAAAACAAAAAACAAACAAAAATAACATGTAAGGATAAAGAAAATGGAAAGATGGACCTCATGTATGTATGTACCCTTTTCTCACATGTGTAGAATTTTTTGACATAGATAAAACAAAAATCTGAGGGTCTCAGTGGATAAAGAGCTTGCTCTGCAAACATAGGAAACCTGAGTTAAGATTGCCACCACTCACATAAAGGCCAGACACAGTGATGTGTGTCTAACTCCAGTTCTGCAGGTGCCTGGAGCTTTACTATCTAGTTAAAAATAGCTTCAGGTCAGTGAGAGATCCTGTCTCAAAAAATAAGGGGGGAAAGTGAAAGAGAAGGACACCTGATGTAAAACTCTGGCTGGCTCCCATATATGCATACCAGTGGGCATCCCTGCATACACACCTCTACCCCACCCTAAAACACAAATACAAGAGAGAAAGATTTGAATATTGAATACACTGCTGGACAGAAACTTTGATTTAGGTGCTGGAGATGTCTCAGCAGTTAAGAGCACTTGCTGCTCTTGCAAAGGACCTCATTTTGGTTCTCAGCACCCACATGGCAACTATCTGTAACTCCAGTATCCTCTTATGGTTTCTGTAGGTATGAGGCACACACAAGGTGCACATACACACATGCAGGCAAACATTCATACACATAAAGTAAAAATAAGTAAATATGGGGTTGGAGAGAGAACTCAGTATTTAAAAGCACTGGCTGCTCTTCCAGAGGACCTGGACTTGGTTCCTACGTGGTAGCCCACACCATTTGTAACTTTATGCAAAGGATCTGATGCCCTCTTGCTTCTATGAGCATACATGTAGCCATAGACATAATGTGAAAATCTCAAAAACTTTTAAGTAAAAAAAAAAATCCTTTTTTAAAAAACTTTGATTCATGCTAGAATAGATAATTTTAGACATACCTTTCCATAGGCTAACATTACTCTTTAAAATTTGTGTTTTTTTAAATACAGCATCAATTATGAAAAGTTAACAATTTATAATGACATAATAAAAAGCAGCCACCCCACAGAGGAAGCCACCAGGCCCCCTTAGGTTCCCTTCTTTCTCATCTTCCCTGTACATATGTAACATATGTACAGTGTGTGCCCTATTACACATGTAGTGTCAAGTTTGCACAAAGGTGACAGTTCACTGACAGTAGTACTTCATATTAGACCGGGACGGCTTTCTTTATCAGCACCTGTAGGCCGAAATCCTTAGGAAGAAAGTGCAGTATCCAGGATCCAGGTGAACTTCGGCTTTTCTTTTAACGTGTATGGGTGTTCAGCCTGCATGGTAGCATGTGTACCACATGGAGAAGAAGAAGGTACTGAGGCCCCTAGAACTGGAGTCACAGGTGATTGTGAGCCACCATGTGGGTGCTGAGAGCCTAACCCAGGTTGTCTGCAAGAGCAGTAAATGCTCTTAGTCCCTAGCCTTCTTGCTGGCCCTTTGAACTCTGGCTCTTGACAGTACTGCTGCTAAGCCATGGCTCTTCTGTCTCTCTCACTGCTGAGTGCTGTGATAAGCAGCCCGGTGATTGAAATGCAGGGCTGGGGGCAGAGGATGCACTACCATGGCATGGAGCCTCCTCGATGGCTGACCTAGCTAGCATCTTGTCTACAGCAGCACATGAGAATGCCATTTCTCCACACCCTGGATTATTCTGTTTGTTAACTCTGTCGTGTTTCGTTTTGTTTTCTGAGACAAGATCATGTAACCCAGACTGCCTCAGATGTGCTCACCTTGAACTCCCGATCCTTCTGCATCCCAAGTACTTAATATAGGCAGATATTTGATAGATGAAAAAGTGATACTGTTTTTATTTGAATGTGTTTATTTGGTAATTGGTGAACTGTGCGTCTTTTTTATATAATTGCTGGTCATTACTATGTCTCCTGTGAATTACCCATTCATACTTTTGCTCCTTTTTCACTGGTTATAAAGGTTGCTTCTACATAATTATGAATATTAGCCATTTGCTATATTTGATGAATGTCTATGTTTGTAATATTTTTTCCGTGTTTCTTCATCTTTTTACTTCAGAATAATTTTAAATTTTCTGAGGAGTATTGAGGATTGAACTTGGGGTCTCATACACGTTAAGCACATGATCTAACACTGAGCTACGTGCCCTAACTTTTTCTTTTGGAGACAAGGCCTCTGTAGCCTCAGCCAGCCTGAAGCTCACAAAGTTGCCCAGGCTGACTTTGAATTACAGAGATCTACTTTCCTCTGTCTCCCCAATGCTGAGATTAATGGTGTGTGCCACTATACCCGGCCTCTTATTTTGTTTTTTTTGGAACAGGATCTCCCTCTGTGGCCCAAGCCAGCATTGGACTCACAACAATTCTGTCTTTACCTCCCAAGTGTTGGTATTACAGGCATGAGCCATCATGATTGGCAACCCTTTATTATACAAGGAACTCCTATCAGTATTTTGTTTTATGGATTTCATACTTTATCAGGATTAGTTTTTACTTCATATAATTTCAGTTTTGTCATGAAGCTCCTGGGCGAGCTTCAGTACCTGTGAGCTGCATGAGACACACATGCACAAAGTGCCCTGGAGAAAGAGGCTGGATACTTGCCCATTTATTTTCCAGCATTGCCAGTCCCTGGTAGAGGGACTATACTACATCAAATCCCCACAGATGACTCCTTTACAGCATACAATGCCACCTCATACCACATATATTTTCTTTCCTTCCTTCTGCCCAGACTATGCAATATCCAAACCAGACCTCATGTCACAGATGGAGCGCGGGGAAAGGCCAGCCATGCAGGAGCAAGAGGACTCTGAGGAGGGTGAGACACCCACAGACCCCAGTGCTGGTGAGTGGCAGGTGGATGTCCCAGGGCCCTACATCCTGGGTCTTTTCAATATTTGTGGCTTCAGTTTGGAGTGCCACAGTCAAGAGAAGGCCTGAAAGGCATGATATGCTGGCATACTGTTGGGGAAGGAGGCCTGCAGGTAGATATTCCTCCTGGGTCTCCGTGATCACCAGTAGCCCAGGTAGCTGATGAGTAGGAATGCATAGAGTTCATTGTCGTGGAGATTTTTTTTGTTTTTGTTTTTGACATGACCCATTCTTGCCGTTCTTTTATAGGAAGAATCACAGAGAAAGCATTCCTATGTTATGCTCATTCCTCCTAGACATCCCATACAAGGGCCATATCTCTGCAGAATAGAAGGCAGACATGGACTTTATTTACTAGGCAGTAACCATACACATTCACTGTGAGTGATCTCTTGGTGCATCAGTTTTGTAGGCTCTGCTTGGTGATTTTCCTTTGGATTTGCCTCAGAAATTTTCAGTAGAAACATCCCTTTGTTCTTGGTGGGTGAATATAACAATCAAGAATAATAGAACATCGGCCAGGTGGTGGTGGTACACACCTTTAATTCCAGCACTAGGGAGGAAGAGGCAAGTGGATCTCTGAGTTCAAGACCAGCCTCATCTGGGAGTGAGTTACAGGACAGCCAAAGCTAGCAGCACAGGGAAACCCTGTTGGGGGTGTGGGGGGCAAGACTAGAAAAAGCATTGCATATTCTATTGATTGCAGAAAGGAGATTATCCTGCTGGGGAGCTCAGTTGGTGACCAACAGACAGGCTTTGTTATGATTTAATGTCATTGATTTGAAGACTGTTAGCTCTTCTAAGGCAGGGAAGGTTTGTTTGAGCTCCCAGTCTCAGAGGGGTCAGGCCATGGATGCTGGGCCTGTGTACTCAATGCCAAACATCTAGTGGGAGGGTGAGGCTTACCCCAACTCAATACCACAGATTAAAAAAAAAAAAAAAGATGAATTTGAAAGTAGATAAGGTTGAGGGGTTAATCTAGGGCTACATTTTTGTTAGAGGAAAGTCTGAGAGACCACATTTGAAACAGGAACTGGGTGAGATAGAGAGATTCCACGTGGAAGAGCTCAGAGACAGGGACGCTTAATTTGACAATTGACAGGAATGCTTTGTGGCCAAAACCCGGAAATATGGCTGCTGCCCCGACTGGTTTTGAGGCTCAGGGGCTGCACTGGTAACATTTAACTCTTTCCCTATCTACGTTTGTCATCTGTATCCCAGACAGGCCTCCCGTTGAATAGGGTTCAAAGTGAAAGCAAATGACCTAGCCTACTTTGTCCTGAGCTGGGTTTAGTCTGGCACACATGTCCATGGCCTGAGCTTCCACAGAGACAGTCACTTGTGTCACTTGTTGCACTTCTCCTTTCCAGCCTTGGAGCTAACATGAATAAGAAGGATAGGTGACACAGGACCACTGCACAAGAGTATTTAGCTAAAGGCAATTGCTACCTGGGAAACTAGTGTCGGCCTTCTACATACATGGAATAATCTGTCCAGTGTCTTCTCCCTAGCAAGAAGGTGGCAGAGGCACCCCTGAACCAGATACAACAGTATGCTACCAAGTAGGAGCATCTAAAACACTGAAAACTTGCCGGGCAATAGTGGAGCACTCCTTTAATCCCAGCACTCACTCTGTGAGTTCAAGACCAGCCTGGTCTACAAGAGCTAGTTCCAGGACAGCCTCCAAAGCCACAGAGAAACCCTGTCTCAAAACCTACCCCACCCCTGCTGGGATTACAGGGGGCCACTATGCCCAACCAGCATTTGCATAGGTTCTGGTGATCCAAAGTGGTTGCTTATATAGCAAAAACTTTAACCACTGAGTCATCTCCCTAGCGTAATTTTTATTTATTTTATTTAATGTGTCTGAGTATTTTGCTTGAATATCAGTCTGTGCACACCTCATGCATGCCTGGTGTCCATGGAAGTCAGAAGAGGGCTTTGGGTCCCCTGAAACTGGAGTTATTGACAGTTTGAGTCATTATGTGGTGGCTGGGAATTAAACCCAGGTTCTCTGCAAGAAAAAGTGTTCCTTTTTTGTTGTTTTGTTTGAAACAAGGTCTCTAGTCTTGGCTGTCCTAGTGCTTGCTGTGTATGCCAGGCTATCCTCAAACTCAGAGAGATCCAACAAATAAAAGGGTGGGAGAGAGAATTGAAGACAAAGTGGAAAGCTGTGAAAGACCCTGGTATACCAGAAGGTTCCAGAGCTTTTACAAGTAGATGAAACTGATAAATGCTGAGGGAACTGAGGAGAATTTGGAGCTAAGTGTGTGGCCTTTAACAGTGAGTAAAGCAAAAGAAAAGATGATCACCTCTAGGGGATAAAAGCAACTGCAGATGTGATCCATGCTGACCGTGGGTCCACGTCAGGCTCACTGAAACCAGAAGGGATTTGGTGGCTGGTGAGGGGTTTGGAGGGAATGGTCCTATCTAGCCAGCTGAGGAAGTACCCATGCAGGTGTGTTTTTAGGAGTCTGGAGGTGAGAAACACGAATCCTTGGAATCCCTGATTACAGAGTGAGTTTGAGGCCAGCCTGGGCTACCTGAGGCCCTGCCTGTAGGACAGTTAGCAGAATAGACACAAAGGTAAAACTGTGCACATCAGTCTGCTGAGAACTGTAGAAGGGCTTTAGAGTTCTGTCTATACCAGCAGTTCTCAGAAAGAAAAGGCAAGCTGGGGTGGGGTAAGAGTAAACTTGTAAGTCACCTTCTTATTCTTTCCAGTGTTGTGTATGCTTGCACATGTGTTGTAAATTATAGTAAGTTGGTTCGACTGTAAAACAAGTTCAAATAATACAGAAGCACATCGCTTGCCAGCTGTTTTTGGTTAAATAGTTTACACCTTCAGTCCCAGCAATCAGAAGGCAGAGGCAGGAGGATTAATATGTGCCAAATATTTAAATCTAGATTACTTTTAATAACATATTTTAGTGTTTATGATCTACTTGCATACTCTCCTGTTGATATGCATTTAGGAGGCTCACAAGTTTTAGTCCATCAGTAAAGACCCTCATAAATAGATCTCTGCAATGGCCTGAAACTTTTAGAAATGGATTTTCTAGGGAGGCTGAGGCAGGCAGATCTCGGTGAGTGTCAGGCTGGACTACATAGTGAGATCTCTGTAACTCAAAAAACAAACAGAACCAAAGATACTAGCTCCTGTCTGTCAAATCTATGAAAATATTTCCCTAATTTGGGGAGTACTTTTGTGTATGGTATTTATGTTTGTGTTGGTCTAACCACTTCCAGTTTTTATTTATTGAGATTAATCAGTCACTTTGTGGTGTTTGGGTTTCACATGAACTACAGAAATACTGAGCCATTTTAATCAGTATATACTGGAGATACTATGGGCTTCCGAAAAACTGATAAAAGCCTATAATGTCAGCTAATTAGAAAGATGAGAGTTGGATCCAAAGTTCACAGCCCACCTGTGCAACTTAGTGAGTGGCCATCTCAAAAGTCAAAAGAAGAGCCAGGCGTGGTGGCACATGCCTTTTATCCCAGCACCTGGGAGGCAGAGGCAGGCAGAAAAGGACTAGGACTAACACTGAAAATATTTGAAACTTAAACAACTTTGTGCCCTGAAGAACAAAACAAAATAAACAAAAAATGCTAAACATAATTAGCTAAGTTTCTCCAAATATAACACTGCATAAGCTCTATTAATAAGTAACCATTTATATCAGACAGTGGTGGCACATGCCTTTTATCCCAGCACTTGAGAGGCAGAGTTCAAGACCAGCCTGGTCTTCAGAGCCAGTTCCAGGACAGGTTCCAAAGCTACACAGAGAAACCCTGTCTTATAACAGTTTTTATGAAAAGTGACTACAGAGATTAAAAATCAGTCACACACAGATGGCACAGTAATATATGCTTGTCATCCCAACAGTTGGGACACAGAGTCAGGAGGATCCCGGCAATGATGAGGCCAGCCCAGGTCTACACAGCTAATCTCAGCTAGCCAGGATATAGCATCACAGATTAAATTAATTTTTTGTAAACAAATAAAAACAAGCTGCAAAAATACTTTCAAAATGACTTACAGGAACCATAATATGGCTCAGTGGGTAAGAGTACTGACAATTTGATCCTTGAGCCCATATGTGGTGTAAAGAAAGAACCTATAGGTGGGATTTTCTGTCCTGCTAGTCAGCTCTGTCCCACCAGCCAGCTCCCCAAATAACCACACAGAGATTTATTATTGATTATAAATGCTCGGCCAATGGCTTAGGCTTGTTACTAACTAGCCCCTACATACTAAATTAACCCATATTTCTTATCTATGCTCAATCACGTGTCAGTACCTTTTTTTTTAGCATGCATTTTCATCTCCTGCTTCCTCTGCATCTGGTTGGCTACTCTTCATGACTCCACCCTTCTTTCTCCCAGAATCCTCTCAGTGTGGCTCTCTCACCTAAGCTCTTCCTGCCTAGCTATTGGCCAGTCAGTTCTTTATTAACAATGAGACCAGTATAGATTCGCAGTGTATGAAAGGATTGTTCCATAGCATTCCCTCTTTTTGTTTAATTAAAAAGGAAGGTTTTAACTTCAACATAGTAAAACTATATACAACAAAAATCGTTATCAAGAATTACAGTCACAGGGCTGGAGAGATGGCTCAGAGGTTAAGAGCACTGACTGTTCTTCAAGAGGTCCTGAGTTCAATTCCCAGCAACCACATGGTGGCTCACAACCACCCTGAATGAGATCTGGTTCCCTCTGCTGGCATGCAGGCAGAAGACTGTATACATAAGAAAGAAAGAAAGAAAGAAAGAAAGAAAGAAAGAAAGAAAGAAAGAAAGAAAGAAAGAAAGAAAGAAAGACCAATGCACATGAAATAAAATAAATTTAAAAAAAAAGAATTACAGTCACAATATCCAGTTCATTTGTATTAGGCAAAAATCAGAGAAAATACTCTTATCTATCTTTGTGAGTCTAAAGTTTTATATCTAATTTACTTTTATCATAACT